CTTTCCCTCCCTCAGCCTCTGCCACAGCCACATTGGGCCGGGCCCACTTTCCCCCCTGCTTGGTCCCAGACCCCCCTCCCCCCGCCCCGGTGTTGCCTGCAAGGAGCAGGGTGGGGGTGGGGGGGCGAAGCCAGCCCTGCTGGCCTTGCCCCCCCTCCTTCCGTCTGCTTTGTTGCTGCCGCTGCCTCCATGACAGGGCACCACCCCCTGTCCATCCCGTGTCCCCATCATCATGGTGGCGAGCTGCCTTCTGTCAGAACACTTCTTTGCGCTCTGATTGGCTGTTTCTGTCAGCCAGTTAGAGCGCGAATAAAATGTTACAGACAGACTTAGGCTCTTATAATATTAGAATTTTTAAGTAGTAATTTTCTGATGTGAAATTTCATAAATTAATATGAATTATTATTTCCTTTCCTATGCAGCATGTTATCTATTAGATAAAGCTACAAAATACTCATGTTTTTCAAACTTATTGCAGTATGACAGCAAAGGTGCACGGTCAACTTTTGGAGGTACATACTGTCTTTTTGCTTTTGCCTCTGTACAGAGCCTAGCACAAGGAGGTGAACCTCCATGACCAGGGCACCTAAACTCTATTGTAAATACTAATATTTGTAGAATGTAGTTGCAATGATACATTTCTAAAGATTGAATTATAATGTGGCTATTGTAATGATTTTGAGAACTTTTCAGATCCTCCCCTCATTCATTAAGCTTTAAAGTCCTCAAAACCTTCCTCAGCTGCTACAGCACATGTATAAACTAATGTATGTAACTTTCATATTACTCTAGCAGAATAAGATATACAAGGACAAGTGCATAGTACTATGCTTGGGAAGGAACAACAAAATACAGTAGGCTGCACTACTGCAGAAAAGGACCATTATAGTCTAATGGACTGTACATTGAGTAGGATTTTTGGTTAAAAACATAGGGCACCGACATTGGGTGAGCCAGATCTAACAAATGCGATGTCTCTTCTGGGCATGTATTGGCTTGGCACAGGGGCGTACAGAGTTTAAAGTAAAGCACGGTTTTGTTTCTTTGTTTGTTTTTTGCATCTGTAAGCAGCCACAATAGCAAATGGATATAACAACAACTGTGTTGCTTCCAAATCACAAGAAGCAATTTTTTCCCATTCTCTTCTGCACTGATGAGGTCTAACCTGGAATGCTGTGTCCTGTTTGAGGCTCTTCACTTCAAGAAAGAAGTGCAAAAAATTGAAAAGAGTCCAGAGGACAGCAACCAAAATGATTACTGGTGCAGGAAACATAATTTATGAAGAAATGAAGAAAGGTTGGAAGAACTGGGATTTTTTAGTCTGGAGAATGAAAGAGTAAGGGGGGATTTGACAACAGTCTTGAAATAATTACTTCGTGAAATCTCCATTCTTTCAAGTTTTTAAGTGCAGGTTACACAACTATTTGTCTGGGATGGTTTAGCCAGAAATTATCAGCTATGAGCAGGGGGTTGGGCAAGATGATCTCCACAGGTCTGTTCCAGTTCTATTTGCCTGCAATTCCATGGTAAAAGAGACATAAGAAGCCTCAGGTAAATTAGTCCAGCCTTGAATCATGCAACTTTTTAAAGAAGCAGATAAGTAGCATAAGCATTCCTGGATTCTAACACCAAAAATGAGGAGGATGGTGGTGCACGATTATGCTTATTGGTGCACTCTCAAAAGAGGGCTTTAGTTCCAGATGAACTGTGTGTTTTGAGCAGTGATATGGACCTCCATGTGCATTCAGAATAAAGGAAGATACTGGTTGTCTGTTTGGCTGATGGAATATGCTCTTTGTTGTATTAAAGTAGGCAATCTTCACAACTATTTGAACAGACAGTTAGGCCTTTTATTTTTTTGGTTTAAAAAAAATTATTTCTGCATCAACAAGAACTTATTTTAGATCACAGTGGAATAATTTGATGAGACAACTGTTAAGCTAGATCAGTTTACAGGGTCAATAGGTCAGGATTAATAATATTATTTTGTATATTATAAATATAAATTATATATAATACATATTATAAATAATATCAGGACAACAGACCAAGATAAAAAACAAACTGGATTTTCCTTGTCTTCGATTCTAAGATCCAGATCACAACCAGTTATCTGAGCCTTACATTTTAAATAAACATCTGTTTGTATAGCATAACTTACCTTTAAAGTAAATAAAGCTAATCAGAACCAGTGCAGTTTCTGGATCAAGATTCTTGACCAAGTCAACAATTTTCCCATGTGTTTTCTTCTCAACGTAAGTATTAATCTGTTTCTCAGCCTCTGTGGGGTCCTTGAAGTTGGTAGTAAAAGCTTCTGTATCATACAAGTTTTTGATACCTTCTAAAAACTCCTGTAGTGGTTTCAGCTTTTCTCTGAGAAATATGGCATTTCCCATATTGAGCTGGAGCTGGCTGTCAGGATTGTTCAACATGTAGATGAGATGTTGAAAACCTTCATGTATCTCTCTCTCCTCAATCTCTGTCAGGTTAAAGGTGAGACCTTCCAGAATCTGTGTCTGAGTGGTTGATCTAGCAGCATATGCCAGCATTGCAAAGGCAGTGGAGATGCTCACAGGAGAGAAAAAAACGTTCTTATTAGGTTCTTCTAATGTAATCTCCTTGTACAATCTAAATGCAAAGTCAGCATTGTTAGGAACTAATTTGAGACAGGCCATGGCTTCACCTTCGTGTTTTGAATCATGTTCAGTAGAATTTGCATCATGATTATCATGTCCATCCTCATGACTACAGTGAGCAACACTGTGGAGCACAGCAAGCAGCATGCATAGATAGAAGGCTGACTTCATCTTCCTTTAGAACAATTCTGAGGGGAGAAAAAATCTGTTACCAAGTGTTTCTAAACAGAGTAAATCCATCTCTCATCTCTATGGAATGGGAGATCTTGGCATTTGTTCATGTGCCCCAACTCTTACAGGTGTTTTTAATTCTGCCTGCAAGTCTCCTGTGTGTTCTCAGCTTCCTGCCTCCATCTGACTATTTAACTGAGAGTGATACTGCCATAGAAACAAGGCAGGTTGCTCAGGATTGTATTTATCAAATTCTGGTCAAAGGACACCAAGAGGATACAATGAATGCCACTTTATTCAGTATGGACACAGAGCCCAGTCTGAATGGTGGCAGTTCTGCTGGAACTGGAGATGGTTTCTGACAGTAAAGCGTTATTCATAACAGGAGGGTCACAGGTGCAAGTGTGCTAGACAATTTGAGAGTCAAAATAAAAGCCTTTGAGGGGAGTCTGGAGTGGATTCACTAAAATTAATATAGGAAGGTACAAATTGAAACTCCAGGTGTAAATTGAAACGTTGGCATAAAATTTCCATCATCCATGTATTTTTTTTTTTTGGGTGAAACTTGGGCTTAACCTTCCACTGAAGATTTTGATTTTCTTTGAAAAATGAAATATTTTATGCAACACAAACATTTCAGCTAAACATTGATATATTTCAATTGGAATAGCCCTCTGATATGGGATGTGTAGGACAGTTTCTCCATGTCTTATGGGCACATCTCTCCATGGTACTGCATGAGCATTTCCAAATCTCAGTGTCTAAGTTTTTGACAGAAATATTTAAGCTTCTGAACAGAATATTATCTTTTATATGCCATGGGAAATTTCCACGGGAAAAAAGGTACTTGTCAATTCTTATTCTTTTCAGCACTATGTCTTGAAGAGAGAGTTGATTATATAACAGCTGATGTTCTTGGGCAATTTTCCTACCCCCACAAATAGAGTTAGTTAAAATGGGATTAATTTAATTGTATGGTGAAATTAATTCTTAAGGGCTGTTGATTGGTGCAAGCCTCACCTTAGAAGTTAGTGATTGTGTCATGTGTCTGGCTTTGTCAAACACTGTCAAGTATTAGGGGTTTTTTATGCTCCTTTAAATTTGCAGTTATTTAAAATGAAGTCTAGGCTTTCCTCTAAATGTGTATGTTTCAGGCATTTGGACTTATCGCTAGGATTAGAAAGAGATATTTGAGCATAATGACTTATAATTAGCCTATAGATTACCTGTTTGATATCATAGACCTAATGATGCTGCAAGAACCACCAGCTCTGATTCTTCATTAGTTTGACATGAAACAAGGGTGTGGAGGTAGTGGTAAAAGTGAATTTAGATTTCAGTTAGCAAAAGAATAATTAAAATATTATCGTTTTTCCCATAAAGGAATGTTAGCTTCCAAGCAAATACTTCAGTTGCATCAACTTACTGCATTCAGCTGTATGATTTGAAAGCTACATGGCCTAAGGAAATATCTAATTAAATATTTTTTTCTTATAAAATCTTTATCTTGTAAACTTTCAGAGCCCTTTTCCCTAGTAAGGCTAGGAATCATTGCTCTGTGCTTGGTGTGGCTGCCATACTTGTCCTGCCATTTGCCAGGAGATGAGATAATTACAAATAACAAAAGACACTATTTAAACAAGAATGTTTTATAAAGTACACAGATTTCAGGAGTTAGGTTTTTCTAACCAAATAATCTTGTTTGCATGTTATAAAAATTCAAATGCAATAAAGCTGATACCACTTTAGTAACACCCTGTTTTACAAAGCTAATTTAAATGATCCCCATTTTCTGACCTCATCAGACCACGTCCTTCAAAGCATGACATTTTGCTAAGAGGCCTAGTTTGGATTAGATAGTGACATAGGAGTGGGAGTCAGGAGCTGCTGAGTTCTGATTCTAGGTATGCACTGCCTGGCTGTGACACCCTGGGGAAATCAATCACATCACACCTCTGCTTTATTTTCCCACTAATTAAATGCTAATCATTGACAATATGCTGGTGGTTTTGCCAAGTAGTCTTTCCTATAGAAACAAGAAAACAGCACAAGAACATGGTGATATTTGGAGGAAAGAGGTTCATTGTACATTATATTTTTAATGCATGCAGTGCTGTATGTCACCCTTTGTGACACTCTTTGTGGTGGTGTCTCCATTCAGAAGGGCAGTCTGTACTTTCCCAGTCAAAAAACTCTAGGGCAAGCTCAGGCCACCTTGCTAAAATCCCACTAGTAAACCAACAGGAGGACAGAGGTAAATGTATCATTCTAACAGAACTGACTGCTTTCTTGGATAATGCCAATTCCGCCACAGGCTAGAGATGACAGTTCTCACTGCAGCTCATAAACACATTTCTGAAGACAACCTTCAGACTCTAGTGTTTTAGGTGCCTGTTTGTAAAGCCTTATATGGCAATGGATAAACATTGCATCATTTACAAGTTCTTCCCATCTGAAATGACACAAGGTGAAAGCTTGAAAGATTTGAAGGTGAGCACAATGCAAAAACACTCCCTGAAAATACACAAGCTTGTTCACCAGATGGTGCTGCTTCCCCTCTTGATACAGAGTTCCAAGAAGAAATATCACAAAAACCTGTTACTTTTACATTTCCTGGACTGTTTCAGCTACAACACTCCAACCCTATTAGTTCCAAGAAATTGTTTGCAACTGAAGGAAAGAAATGACAAGATCCTTCAATTCTGGAATGCTCCATTCTGAGAAGACATACACCTTGAGACCCAGGATGAAATTCTGGCCCTATTGAAATCAAGTGGAAAATTACTATTGATTTTAATAGGGCCTGAGATTTCCCCCTGATGATTAACACAGGTATACATGAGACGTTTACGTGGAAAGTCCTGTTAAATAAACTGACACCATGTAATAATACTTGTCTCCTTGTTATGAACATTACTTGGTTACTGCTTTATGGTACTTTAAACATAAAAAAGCTCTATGTGGATATTACATGTCTATGTGAATACTATCTGTGACTATTATCTATCTGAATATGAAATTTTATTATTATGTCTTTAGAAAAGGTTGAAGACACATTTCACTGCGGAAACAGGAAAAAAAAACCACCACCAAAGAATGAAATCAGGGAATGAAATGGATTGCATGCAATACAGATATTCTATATACGAAATCCCCATTGAAGAATGTCTACTTACGGCAGACTCCGAGGATTCCACTATGTTAACCATTACTGGCCTTCACTTTGCTCTGCTATTTATACCATTAAAAAGCATTATGAAAGCAGTGTGTCCTCTAGAAAACATTAACTAGGTCATTTAATATTTTGACTTGAGGGATGATGCAGCGCAAACAGTGATAACACTAATTTTTCTGGGTACCTGGCTTTGCTGCATATGCATGCTCTAAGGTAGGTTTGCCCATACCCACTTCCATTTCCAAGGATTTCTATAATCACAGTCAGAAATAGGAGGCCCCTGGCTTTGCAAATATTTACATATGTCAATAAATTTGCTTATGTCAATATTCCCATCAGGTTCAATGGAAGGACTCAAATGAGAAAAAATTCTCTCTCTCTCTCTGCTGGATAAGATCCTAAAGAAAAAAAAGCCTAAGCAAGCCAGACCTCCTATTATTTTGGATGAAGACTGCTTGTTTTCCTTTCACTAAACTTTGGATAGTTCTAGTTCATTGCATGCATCTTAAGCAGGGGTGGGCAAAATGGTGGATCTGGCTTATTGCCAGACTCCATTTCCTGGCAGCCTCTGCAGTGATGGCTCCTTTGGTTCCCAGTGCTGGACCCAGCCTCACTACCCAGGCACCCCAGCCTATCTACCCGCATCCACTGCTGGACACAGGACCTATGCAGGCAGAGCACACAACTGGGCAGCCAAGATGGGGCCATGGCCAAGAGCGAGACGGGTGGGTGGGGCTGGGGAGACCCTGGGATGTTGGGGCAGTGACAGTGTGGGTTCCATGGGCAGGGGTACGCAGGGAGTGGATTGCGACTCTACCCTAGCCCCATCCCTGTGCTGTCACTGCCCTAAGATCCCAGCCCTGGGCCAGGAGCAGGTCCTTGCCCAACTATGTGCCCAACTCCCAGCCAGTCTCCATGGAAACTGAGACCGTGACTGCATGGGGCTAGGGCTAGGCCTGAGCCCTGGTTCTGTAGGCAGGGCCATACAGGAAGTGTATCACACTCTACCTTGGCACTGTGCTGTTACAGCCCTGTGATCCTGGTGTTTCCATGGAAACCAGTCAGGAGCTACATGGGCAGGATGCACAGCTGGGCAGGGAGCTGCTCTGGGGCCAGGGTTGGGATCTTGGGGTGGTGACAGCATAAGGCTGGGGCTGAGCCATGATCTGCTCCATGCATGCCCCTGCCTGCAGAACCCATGTTCATTGCAGGGGCAGGCAGGCAGTGGATCCTGGCCCTGCCCCAGCCCTGGCCCCATGTTATCACTGCCCCAAGATCCTGGGTTCCTCCAGCCCTGTCTGCCTGTCTTGCTTCTGGCCACAGCCCCGTGCACCCTGCCTGCTTGGGTCCCACCACAGCAGTGGGTGCAGTGCAGCAGGGCTGGGTCCAGCAGTGGCAGCCAGAAGGAGCTGCCACCACAGGACCTGCTGGGAAATGGAGTCTGTCACAGGCCAGATCCAGCTCTTGGGCTGGATTTTGTCCACCCCTCTTAAAGTGTTCTACATTCTCCTTAATTACCTATTTTCCCATGAATAAAGACAAATAGCTGGGGACATCATATCTAAAAAATAATTTATAAAGGGTATCATATATTGTTTTTGTGACTGCTATAGCAATTCTGTGCTATAAGGGTAAATCCCACTATATTTGCCATATTAAATGGAAATGTTTAAAATGTAGGTTTGTAGGATGTTCGAATCTACTTCTAGGGATCAAGGACAGATTAAGGCAAACTCCAGGATTCTAGCTGTATGTTTAACTTGTAAACAGGTGTAGCATGGAAAAGAGCCACCCTGGTCAGCCACCCCTGGCCTCCGTCCATCCCTCCGCTACCTCCTCCACACCCTTTCAATCAGCAACAGAGTAGAGAGCCAAGCGGTGGGTCACAGGGTGCAAGGTGTTATGGGAAGTGTAGTTCTCTAAACTGGCAGTGGTAGTTTGCTGCTGCCAGGGGGAAACTTTCACCCCACTTTTTTTACCACCAAAAACCATGTCCAGGGGGCAAAAAATGCTGTACAGTATTTGGTGGCAAAACAAGAAGATCAGTTTTCCCCTGGCAGCAGGCAACTTCATTGCTAGTTTGCGAAACTACAGTTTCCAGAACACCTTGTGCTGTGCCAGCAGCTTCCTGGAGCAGGAAAGTGCTGACAGATCAAGGGAGGGCAATGCACAGCCTGCAGTGATGTAGGTTGCAGTGAGTAGCCCCAGAGTGAGGTAGCCCCTCCCCCAGCTTTCTGTTGCTCCTCCCTTGAGACTTGTGCCTCACTTGCCCACTCCAAGTTATACTCCTGCTTGTAAAAATGATCTTAGTTTAAAAAAACAACCTGTAGGCTTGCTACTTTTATTTTTATTATTTCATTTTCAATACAAATGCCATGATTTCCATTCAGAACTGGCCGTGTGTAGCTATTAATACTTGCTCTTAAGTTGGTGCTGATAAAGAAAAGAAACCAAGTGAATTATGGAGTATGTACATTGTTTGCCTTTCAGGAATCGGCATTTGCATGTAGATATTGGGCAGTGAGTTTGAGTCTCCTCGTCTTGCACCTCATACAGTTCTTGACAGGGACCTACTTAAATTGTAGTTTCACAGTTTTCACAGAAACGATGAAAAATGGTTTCCACAATCACCACAAAAATGGTGTCTTCCAGAATTTTGCACAGAATTGCCTGAAAAAAATAACAGAATACAAAGCAAGCAAAGCAATCCCTGCAGTCATAGGGCATGTAGTTTGAGTGAGAGGCTGAGCTAGTGACACAGACTCAGTGAAGGCTCCAGTTAAGAAAGTAAAAGGTTTTGGTGCTATCTTTTAAGAAGCCACATGCAATTCTGCAGCAGTGCTGCAGTCTGAAGATGATGAGTGAAAAGAAATCCAAGAAAGCTAAATACATTTCAGCTCAGGATGTAAGGCAGTTCCTTATAGAAACTTTGCATGCAAATAGTGGTAAATTGTTTTGCTCATCGTGCAACCTGACTCTGGATGTGTTGTGGAAAAACAACATTGACTGGCATTTAGAGTCTGAATCACATATAAAGTGAAAGGATGCTGCAAGGTCAGAGCTGAAGGTCAGAGCAAGAAACAAGCAACTATGTTCTCGATCTTTAAAAGAACCACTGAAAGTAGCTTGACAGGAAGAGAAGCTACATTCTTGCTAGCAGAGGCATTCACCGCCTCCGTCGTTCCTCTGTAGAAAATTGATAACCCTAAATTAAGAGGCCAGTTGAAAAAACATGCCAACTGCTGGCAGTTTCCCATGTGCGAACAAGCTTTGTCAAAATTATCTACCAGGAGTAATTACTTCACTTGTTCAATCTATAAAATCTGCATTGGCAGAATGTCAGTCAATCTTGATTGTAGCAGAGGAAGCAACAGATGCCCAATATAACTATGGTCCTCACGTTTTATTTGTACCTGGGAGCTGGACAAACCACGACCTTCCTGTTTTTCAAACAGAGCTGGTTCACCTCACATCTGTCATTTTCTCTACCACAGCATAAACTGTAATGGAGACTGTTGTAAACTACAGCTTAGATTTTAACAAGATCTCAGCATTTCTGTCTGATAATGCAATGTGTATGTGCAAAGCTTTCTCTGATGTGCTCCATGGAATGATGCCCAATGCAATTCATGTCACCTGCAATGCACACAATCCTTTATTTTTTTTAATTTTCTTTTTTAAAGAAGTGACATCTGACGTGTACATTTTCCTGATGTGGATAGTCTGGTTTTCTCTTTTTAAAAAGTGTTCAAATGTTATCCAGGCTATGAGCTTCAATACAGGGTGTCCATCACCAATGAAAGTAGGGATCCACATGTGACTGTATCACTTCCACCAGAGCCAGCGTACAAGGTGGAATTTGTGGTTTAATGTAGTTCGTTACCATGCAAAGTATATGAAGTACTACCAGCAATTTGTGTGCAAGGAGATTGAAATCGCACCCAGTATCCAGTGCATGCTTAAACTATGTGATTTCTTAAGACAGGGTGACCTTGAAGATCAAGTTAAGTTTGTGGCTGAAAATATGATCCAGTTCACGGAGCTTGTAACATAGTTTGCAAGTCAACAGGCTTTGATCCACCAAGCACACAACAAGCTGGTGGATTTGATAAATTGGGTTGAAGACATTGCATCGCAACCATTTTCAAACTATCAGCATGAAAACCAATGGAGACAAAAACTGTTCCAGGTCATAGCTGCAAAGTTAAACCAAGTATGATCATTCACTACCACTGTGGTTTAAACAACCAGCTGCCTCCTTTTTTAGTGCTGTTTGCCTTTTTTTTTTACCCCAACCAAGTGCCTTTTCTCATTTTTGCCCCTCAGCTGCTGAAATCAATCCCTGGATAGCAGAAAGAGCCTGACAAGAAACATGCTGCTTACATGAACTTTGTCAAAGAACACCAGATGCCTTTGACTGTAAATGTGTTTTGGGAGTCTGTTTCTGGTCAATTTTCACATCTACAACCTGGCAATACTCTGCTTTACCATTCCAACCAATATCTCAGTGTATGGACAAGTGTGCACACTGCAGAGACAGAGGATGTCAGCTGCAACTGCTGGTGGATGCTGCATGCTAGTGTTTAACAACTAACATGAATTGTTTCTATCAAGGTTAGCATTATTTAGTATTACTAACATTTTTATAGAACACTAATAAATTATGTTGATATTAGTTACAATTCAAATTGTGTATAAATTTATATTCATAATGTATTTCAATTTGGATTTAAATTTAATATTTAGATTTATAAGAATGTGGTATTTGATATTTAGGTAATTTTTGCCTCTTAGCTAAACAGCAGCAAGGGGTGGGGCTGCAGGGGCCCCATAGCCAGTCAGTGGTGTGGGGGAGGCTCACCAAAAAAGACTGCAAAATTGTCTCTGCACGCCATGAATGGCCTCTGAAAATAAATCCCTTTGTTTTACCATAACTTAAGTAGGTCCCTAGTTATTGATACCTAGTTATTGTAAATTCTAGTATTCTGCTTGTACAGTGCCTTGCTCCCAGCTCACACGGATGTCTACTGTTGCACAAAGTGTAAAATGGGAGAATC